AGAAAAGTATTGCACATAGTTACATATCACCCATGTTAAAATGTGACCACTTTTATCGGGAAAATTTTGAAAGTCAAATCTTTTATTTCATGAATAATTATATCATATTATATATCAACGGAAATGTATTGATGAGAGGAATAGAATTCCGAAGAAATTTCTTAATATGAACACAATTGAAAAAAGTTACATAAAAAATAAGAAATTTAGTAGCAGTTCTGCACGTTTGATATGATGAATAACGTAATTATTGTACATCATTTATATTCATTTTAACTATGTTTACAATGATAATTAATTTAACAAAACAAAAAAATTATTAAATTTTTGTAGTGCAATTTTTGACATTTTACCCATTAACAAAAAACAAACTCCTTTATTTCTAATAAATAATTCTAAATATTAAAATGCATCAAAGGTTGTGTTCAATAAAAATAACTCAAAACATTAAAGGTATTTAAAGTTTTGTTTAATAGTTTAAAGGTTATATGTGAGATTAAAGCATATTTGTGTTTTATACTATGTATCTTAACCATCAACTAATAATTCCAAAACGACCATGGTCGGTATCGTGAGCAACGCTAATTAAAGTTTTGTTTAATAGTTTAAAGGTTATATGTGAGATTAAAGCATATTTGTGTTTTATACTATGTATCTTAACCATCAACTAATAATTCCAAAACGACCATGGTCGGTATCGTGAGCAACGCTAATCATTCTCAAACAATAATAGAGATAATACAAAACCCCTACTCTTTTGAAATCTTCAATATTTAATGTATCTAATGATATGCTATTCAATGTCCAACAGTAACCGGTACCCCAGCTGTGGCCATATCATTATCAGTAGTCAACCCGATTGGCGGCCTGTATTCGGTCGGTTCGCATTTGATTCTCATAATAGTTAAAGTTTTTATATCTTCTCTAAACTATTGTCAGATAACTATTGGTGAATCCCAATAACTTAATAATCACTTCAAACATGTATTTTTTAAAATATTTTTACTTTAAAAATATGATAATTTTCGACAAAATATTTTGGTGCAAATTTGTCAAAATAATTCCAACTGACACTTTTTAAAAATTTCCAGAATACAGACGAATTAACCAATCTTGATGAAACTTGGATTCTGGTGCCTAAGAATGTTAACTTAATTAATGATATCATTTTAATAATTTTAGTGACACTAGAAGGCGCTCAAGCCACCTATTTATCATTTGAACCAATAGCATGAATCTATTTTTTACTTGGATAGCAATGACAGCAATTACTTTCTATTATTTTACTATATGCTTTATAACTGTATATTATTTAAAACATAAATTTTTGGAAATATCCCATAGAATAGCATTTAGTGTTAAATACGATAACAAACGGCTATTAATGTCGGCTATCGTTGAACACAATTACTACAATACATTATATTTATAGTGTATTTCATAGCAACTCCTGGTATTCAAATTGCAGATTATACAGCTTTAAATAAAAATTGTGAATTATCGATGAGGGTAATGATGTCGACTGTTGGCATTTGTGGTACTACAATGCCTATTATATCATGTGTGTTGTGTACGTGGATTTCACAGGCAGTTCATCGGTCGTACCCCTTATTACTGTCATACCTGTCCTCTACTGGTGGCCGACAACCGGTGCTCTCACTGTGCGATCGGTTGAAAGTGTTTGCATTCATAGAGAGGCTATCGATGGGACTCACAATCGGCTACTATTGCGGCGATTTGTTTACCATTAATAATTATGAATTTTTTCAATACATGTCTTTTGGTTTCTATAGTTATTTACTAGTAGTAAATCATTTGCATTACAAATAACATATTGTTAAATAAATAAAACTTAAATTAATGATTGTTTTATCTTACAAATAAACTACTACGTTTAACAAGATATAGCTACAATCTGCTAATATTGCTATGATTTTAATTCCCATTAATAACCACAAATTGTTCAATACATGTACTTTTCTGGCGCTAATTATTTGTTAATTAAGTCATTAATTTAATTATATTTATATCCTTATAAACATAGAGAGAGAGAGAGAGAGAGAGAGAGAGAG